TTCGTTTTAAAAAATAATCCCGTCCACACATAAAGGCAGAAATGAAGAAAAACGCTGCTAGGAACATGCCAAAGCAGCAGGTGGCGCTAGATTCCTAACCGTACCGAAATGTTGGCCAATCAGAAGTCTAGAAGCCTCGGTGGGAAAAAGTAAACAAAGCTGGGGCATAGAAGCAGAACCGAGTCGTAAGTGTGGAGGGACAGTAACTGTGTGTATATGTAAGCATTTAAACACTGCAGAGAGTAGAATTAACAGTATTGTAGAAATTCATTTCACCGAAACAATAACGTGGCGCACAGTGTGACGCATGCACCAGTTTATTGTATTTCCAGACTTGCTTTCGGCACAATTTACAGTGCACGCTACTCTGTTTTTTGTCAGACTTGAAATAGCCGAAATACCTTCACACTACGGAACTTCTTTGGCTCTTCCGTTCGACAATCTCTCCGGCATTGGAACCATCATCTGTTTTCTCTTCGGTCACGCTCTGTTGATTTTTCTAGTCGGCACACTCATTTCCTCCATTACCCGCTGGCTGCTTCCCAAACAAACACACGTGCGGCTTGGCACTTGTGCTGTACGTAACAAGTCACGCGACGTGACGCTGCGGCTGTGATTGGTTCGGCTCTGCGCTACTTAATTTGGATTGGCTGACCTTTAAAAAAAAAAAAAAAAAAAAAAAAAGGGCAAGAGCGGCGAGGTCTATCGCGATAGCTTAATTTCTCTATCGAGTAAAAGTTATATCGCGATACATATCGTTATCGTTCTATCGCCCAGCTCTAAGTGACATAAAATAAATGCTGTTAAAAAGAAAAGAAAAGATGAGAGAAACTTTATTTGTCTCAAAAATGGTGAAGCTACTGCTCTGTTAGCTTGTCGTCCATTTCTGATTGTTGATGGCTTCAGAAGCGTTCCACCTGATGGGTTTTCATGATGCAGAGTGAAGAAAAATTTTCCAGGAAGTGTAAGTTTATTAACACACATGAACGTGGATTTGCTGCATCAGTCACTCATGGTATTTACTTTACAGAAGACACGATGATATTCATGTTGTGTGTTCTTTATAATTTCTTGTCTGCTCTGTTTGACTAGAAAGCACATGATTTTGGTGGCTAGAAACTTGCTGCTTGTTGTCTATTGTTGTAGTATTTCCAACTTCATAGATGGTCCCTTTAAGGTCTTCTATCCTTTTGCTGTTTGTTTAACCCGATTGTTTTTGTTGAAGAGGTTTTAACTTGTTGGAAAGAGGATTGACTGAATTTTTGAAGCTTGAGTCTAAGACTTGAGTTGTATATGAGTAGTTATCAAATACATCTCTGATTCAAAAATGAGGAGGACTCTACGGCAGCGGTCCCCAACCCCCGGGCCTTGGACTAGTACCCCTCCGTGAGTCGTTTGGTACCAGGCCGCAAGAGTTGAGGCTCAGGTGTGAAATGTATGGTTTTCAGGGTTTTCAGCGTTATTTTGTTATCGCCCTCCTCCTGAATATGAATAAATCTTCTTTTTTTTTCGGTACCGGTACTAGTTTTAATTTGTTGTATTAATCCGCGACACCATAAAGGCCGGTCCATGAATATATTGTCGGGCATAAACCGGTCCGTGGCGCAAAAAGGGTTGGGGACCACTGCTCTACGGCACTTAAAGTTGGTAATAGCCAGCAAAATGCAGCTGAGAAAAGATGAAAGTTATTGCAGAGCTAAAAAGTCTTTCTTTGGAGTTCCAAAGAGTATTTTGGTTAGACTTTGCTTAGACAAATGAAATTACCAAGAATGTACTTGTGCTTGGTTGTTCTGACCAACCTTGTCTACTAAAAACTTAAATGCCTTTATTTCGTCCCCCATCTGTCTCTGTCTTTACTTTCACTTTCCTCTCTGTTAACCTGAACTTTTTAGTGATTCTGGTTGGGAGTCTATCTCTAATTCTGTTATCTACTGGCCCAGTCTGGCCCGAAGGATGGATGCCATCTGTAATCCATTTATCAGAGGCGGCCGCTGGGCCTTCTTCCAAATGACAGCTGGTCTAAAGCAATCTCATTATAAAGAGCATCAAGATATAGTATGGAAATATTGGAGGCAGGAGGGGGGAAAGGGGGTCCTGAGCTCAAAACAAGGGACAGAGAAGAAACACCGTGGGGATAAAACAAAACCACATTTTTACTTAGTCCAAAATACAGTAATGGTGACTCTTATAGTCATTTTTAATCCAGGTGGATCTAACTACACTCTGATGTCCAGATAACACCTCTGAAGGTTGTGGTTTACCTGGCCGATTTGATTTCATTATCAGATCACTAAAGCCACTGATTATACTGTCTGATTATCTGTGTCATTACAATCAATATATTACTGCTAATGAATTATTAAAAGTAATTGGGAATGAAGAAGCAGAGCGTTAAATAACTACTTGCCTGCAATGTTTTTTTTTTTTCATGTATACATTTTTATTATTGAAGAAAAACTGTTTTATTCTTAATTTTATTTTTGTTTTCTTGTACAGCAAATGTCTTATTATTTTTCTGATATTAGTTATCGGTCTTCTGTAATATCGATTATCATTATTGGCTCTGAAAAGGCCATATCAATCTATCCCCGTTCATAATATGTGTGTTACAGTCTATTTAAATTAAACATGTTGAGTATTTCAGGACCAAAATAAAATTGTTTAATTAGGAGCTTAGCAGTTTATATCTGGAAGGCACAGATCATTCCCTTCTCATGTTTCCTGCAGTTAGCAGGAAACCATAAGAACCATCAGGTCACTGTTGTGGCTTTTCCCTGAGACCAACTCCAGCTCTACCATTTTGGACTACAGCAGGGGATGGTAGTCCTGGTTCAGTTCTGCTGCATGTTACACCCCGGCCTAGGCAACCGGCGTGCAACTTCCACAAAAATAATCCCAAAACGAGATTTAAAGCAAGATACGACATTTATTTACATCACCAAACACAAGGCGCCAAATTATTTACAACGGGGGGGGAAGATCGCGACCATGACATACAGAAACACAGGGCTTAAATACATAGAAGGAGCAATTAGGGAATGGACCACAGGAGGGATACACAGCTGGGGCAAATAAGACCTGACGAGACAAGGAAACGTAAACTGAACACTAAGATAACACAGACTTTCAAAGTAAAACAGGAAACACATAACAGTCACGCCAAAACAAAACGCCTAAAACAATACACTGCCAACGCCGAATCGTAACATGCAAGCGGAAGGATCGCTCCAACCAGAACCTGTAATGTAATCATAATGCTGGATTTTCTCCATGTTTGGTCTATAACAAGCTTCTTTTTTTTTTTTTTTTCAGTGTTTTCAGAAATAGCCAGTGGCATATAAAATCATCTGTTTAAAACAAAAAAAGTACGTACATTAGTTGTGGGTGGTAATTTTTTTTAAATTAATTAATTTTTTTAAGAGGCCCAAGTATAGATCCCTGTGGGACACTTGTAGTAATGGCAAGGGCCATGAACATGGACAGGATGCAGACCCAGCAGTGGCTAGCCCTCTCACTCGGTTTCTATTCAACACACCAAGTGTGCTCGCTCACGCCACCTCTTCTTGTGGGTGTGTGTATCTGTGTGTGTGTGTTCATTGTGAGTGAGTGCTTGTTCACCCTGCAATACAGATTCATAACAATGCTGTGCTTGCTCATCCAGAGAGAGAGAAAAATAAGAATTAGATATCAGAGGGTGGAGAGGTGTGTGTGTGTGTGTGTGTGTGTGTGTGTGTGTGTGTGGGGGGGGGCTCAACACACTTTTTATGTAGTCCTTATTGGGGCCTTGATCCAAAGTGTGTAAGGAGCTCTCATCTCCTACTGTGATATACACACACACACTCTCAGAGTTTCCCCACTGTGCAGACCCCATCGCACACGTGCTCACAAAAGAGGTTATTTTGGGGTCGTGTTGATGGACACAAAAGGACTCCCCCCCCCCCCCCCCCCAAACTCTCGCTCTCTCTCTCACACACACGCACACACACGCACGCACGCGCACACACACACACACACACGCACACACACGCACGCACGCGCACACACACACACACACACCCAAAATCTTTCCAGAGGTCTGTGAACACGACCGTCTGTGTGTAAATGTGTTTGCACTGTGACTAAAGGCTTTCAGCGTGACAATGACGTGTGTGTGTGTGTGTGTGATGATTAATACCAGGACAATAGACGTGTGCCTGTTCAGTTGTTATCAGCTCACTGGAGACCCCCACCCCCTTTTTTTTTTTTTTTTTGTTCAAACCACTTTTCACTTCAGTGTAAAAGGAAGGACAGAAATTAAAAAGTAAAAAACAAAAAAAAAATTACTCAATAATAATATGGTCCTCACACTGATCTGAATGATATATATCGATCTACAGATCTTTTAAAATAAATGCAGTGTCTAAAAACCAATAGAATGCATGAAAAGAGAAATAAAATCCATGTTTTCTGGTTCTCCTGATTACGTTTAACTATATGGTTCAGGGCCTTGAAAGAAGCCTGGAGGTTCTTGGCAAAAGATGTTTGAGTTGGTCAAACTAAGCTTCAGACTTGTTAATTCCAATTTCAAACACAGAAAGTTTAACAATACCTCAACCAGATGATCGTAGTTTTCTGGAAGGGCCTTAACCCTGTTGTGTTTTTAAATAGTCACCAGGGGGCGATACCTGTAGTTGCGGTAAACCCGGGGTTTATAGGAACCAGTCCTCAGTCCTGACCTCCTGTTGACTTGTTGGATTCAGTCACTTATTTCGGTCATACTGAATAAATTATTTCCGAGTTGAAAACACCTGTGGTGGCAAGCTTTACAGCGGAACCTCTATATTTTGTAGCTGTTTACCATCACAAGGGGGCAGTGTTAAAAAATTCTCATGCTAGTTTTTAGATTTTTGACTATATGTTTGTACTTCTTTCTCTAAACATGGAGTTTGTATGTTGATCTCTTTTCTGTTTAGGCAATATTTCAAACAATCCAACAATATTCTCTCCGTCTCTCTCTTAAGGTTGTCTGTCTAACCTCCCGCCAAATGCGAAGAAGATCTCCAACTCTTACGAGGAGCGCCGTAAACAGGCCACTGCCATCGTCCTTCTGGGAGTCATTGGGGCTGAATTTGGCGCAGAGATCGAACCCCCGAAGGGCTCGGCCCGGGCTCGAGCTGGTGGACAGGCACCCGAAGGTTTTGGACTGACCAGCGGAGGATCGTCCAACTACTCCCTGGCCAGGCACACCTGTAAGTCCAGAAACTGCAAACACACTCATGATAACACATTTACCGAATTTCCCAGAGGAACCCACCCGAGGGATTAATAAAGTTTTATCTAATCTAATCTAATCTAATTTATTTGGTTAAATTTGCAGCCCAAAATTCTTCAAATGGACCACCAAGATGTGCACATTTTGTTTAGTTTGATAGGTTAAGAGAAATCTTAAAAACCTTTGGATGGATATGGCTGTGGTGCTTATAGGTTTTACATTTTTATGTTTGTGTAAATTCTGCAGAAAATCTCTAGTCCTGGCAGGTTTCACCATAGCAGGTTTCACCATAGCAGGTGTGTTGTGTCCTACTGCTTTATGATAATAACCTGTAGAGACTCTCAGGACTGTGTGTTTTCAGCTTTCAGAAGCCTGTAACGGTTTCTTTCTTTCTTTTTTTTTTTTTTTCTTTTTTCTTTTTTTTTTTGCCCATTTCTGCGCTACTGAATTTACTTGCTCAGCGATAGAGTTTTGGTTGCTGCTGTGTTGGGTTTTTGGAGCCAGAAGTGACTGTATAGTACAGTACCTACTAATTAATAAGTGACAAACAAATAAAAATAAACTTTCTTGATTGTGCCACATACAAGCCCATAGTTATTGTCAGGTAATTCCACTAAAATGCTCCAAAAGCCACCAATAGCACAGTTTTATTATTATTTTATGAGGTTTAATTGGTTCCCAACTTAAACCCAATCAAATTTTAAAAGCATCTAGCCAACTAAACTGAAGTAAAAAACATCCTAAAGACACCCCGTAAACATCCACAACTCCACAACTGACATAGTAGAAACTTCAGTGCAGGATTAGAGGTGAGTAGAGATGGGATTGATTTTCACCTGCCAAGCTTGACACCTTAAGGAGCTTGGTGCTGACTTCCACACACACTCGGCGAGCCCGGCCCTGTGCCACGCTGTGCCTGCAGCGCTGGACCTTGGTGGGCATCAAACCTGCACTAAGTAGAGGTGCTCTTCCGTCCCACTGCTCCCGTGCTCTGATTGGCTGCCTCTGGGGGAGGGGAGGGGGACATCCGCCGGGTGACACAGCCTGCGCTCTCACCGATAGGCTGTGGAGCGTGATGCTTCTTAGCTGGACCTGCACACAGCAGTCGGCTCACCTGTGTGGACACACACACGCACCAGAAACCTTAAATCCATGTCATGAGATGAAAACAACTCCAGATTTAATTGATTTCCTGGAGCCATACTTCACGACTGGAGACGCCGAAAAGCTATTAATTATAACTGCTTTTTAAAACAATCATCAGCATTGCCTGTAAATATGAATATGAACACATTGAAACTACTCCTTAAGATTTATTCTAGTTTCAGCCATGCTTATATGGAAAATGAGTTAATTAACAACCCTGTGTGGCTAACGTTTGGTTTCTATTTTTCAGTCTTTTACAAAAATGCCCAAAACGGCGCTGATCAATTTTAAAGCCAATATGCATTTTTTTTTTTTTTCATTTAGCAGAAACCTCCAGAGTTGAAAAATCAAGTATTATGTTCTCTATTAGCAAAATTTCCCATGAAGTTAGATGTTGCGGACACAGGAAGTGGTCTGCTAGGCCTTAAAGGTCTTAAAGTTTCTATTTTGACTTGAAAGTGGTGAATTCAAGATCAGATATAGTTGATACTAGTAGATTGTAATTAAATGGTGGAAGGGTGCGTGTGCACATATTCTCTTATATTGGGTCATCTTATGGTCATAATAATCTGGTTATGTATACACTGCAGCACAGTTTAGGATGTTTTTATGCTTTCTCTTTCCATAGCTTTTTGTTACTCCTACCTCCTCCTCCTCCTCCTTTTTACTACTCTTGTTCAGTTTGTTGTCTCCCCCCCCCCCCCCTTCCTCCCTCACTCTGTTATGAAATTGAAAGATGGATCGGTGTTGTTGGCGTACAGCGCAGTGTGTGATGAATGAGAGCTGTCCGCCTAGAGAGTGGGAGGGTACAGTAGCCTGTAGTATAGATTGATGTTTTCATATGGCGGGGGTGGGGGGGGAGAATCGAGCTTAAGGATGGACGGATGGACCGATGATGGCGGGGGTGGGGGGAGGAATTATCCTGCTGTTGGGCAGGATAGGAGAAACAAACTGAACATCAGTGTGTTCAGTCTCTGGACAATAAAAAGCTCACAGTAAATGTCAAAATGCTCCGAGTCCCCTCTGAGGCCCACTCAAGTCTGATCCGTGGCATTTTCAAACATTCATGAGAGCTGATTGGAAATTGAGTTTTACTTTGTGTTGTAGGACATTTAACAGGGAGAAGCAGGTAACGGAAGGTAGAAATGTCTCTGCTGCTGTGAGTGGGATACAAGAAATAGAACAGTTTCTTCATCAACACTTGAGAAACAAACAGAAGGGGAGAAAATGTTGGAAACTTTCAAGCTCAAAGTTGTACATTTATGGGGGGAAAAACCCTCAAACACTGGAAAATTTACAAGGAAGAAATTACATTAACAGCAGATAACTTGTGAAAAGTGATGTAGCCACATAGAGAATCAGGAAAGATCTCATCATTTGGTCGTTCGTTTGTTAAAATCCTTTCAGACATTGGCAATAATACACAGAAAAAATGGCATAATGCATGCCTGTCATATCCTGATGATCTGGATCTGCAGGCCAGTTATTACCAGATGTAGACGGGGTGAGACTGACTACAGGGTTATACAATGTAATGATGGACATTACATTACACTTCTCATGTAGCTGCACAGCGTCTCTACATGAGCTAAAACCTTCATTCTTTCTCTTTTTGTCTTGTTTTTCCTCTCCGTCTATGTCAAGCACTCTGCAGCCAGTCTGATCCAGCTCTCATCCACTAACCAACCCAGCATTGATTTACCTTCACCTCGCATTTAAGCTCAAACAGAGGAAGAGAGGGAGAAGGGGCAGTTAGCAGATGGAGAAAAGAAAGCACAAAGCCTGTTAGCGCTCGTTTCGGCCTGGTAAATTTTAGACGTCACCAATCTGTCACTATATCACACACTGTACTTCTCCCCCTCAGTCTTCCTTCCTTCCTTCTTCCCTCCTTCCTCCTCTTCCTCTAATCATCCTCTGTGTGTTAATGTGACATGTTTACTGCCCTAACTAACAGCTCATTATGGCCGACTGATGCTTTGTCAATAGCAATCAGTTCATTTGGGAGCCCGGTGCTGCCTTTAAACAAAGATGTCCGCTGTGAGAAATGAACCCTGAGTCAAAGCCTTCCTCTCGCTGGGAATGGGGGGAGGGGCTGTAAATTTGAATCTCGATCCGGCCAATTACAGCGCTGACTGTTAACGGCCGTCTTTAATTGTCTTGCGAGGAAATAAAAGTAAAATAATGAGGCTTCGAAGAGCAAATGTGGCTCTGTGGTCAGAGTGGGCTCCCTTAGGGTTTGTCATGCTCACACCCCACCCACATTTGCTGCTCACACTAATGAACTTTGACCTCATGACCTCTAAAGCCTATTTTGCATTAGGTGGAGAGAATCGGTCCCCTGGCTCACTGCTCTGATGGATTCACACTAAGAAAACCACTAAAGTTATAACATTTAGCCTGTTTGAGGACGATTAATGCTCATCTTTGTTTGGAAGCATCCCGAAATCTCCCAGAAACATTTTTAACATTTTACACTATTGTCTTTCTAACTGTCATTAAAGATTATTTTCTATTTTCACTGATTTTGATTGAAATAAAACTGTCAATATGAGTAGAAAGTTGATACTGAACATTTACACATGAATGTGTTTTTTTAAAAAAAAGCCAGAAACTCATTTGTAATTGATTTCTGTGCAGCTGTTATTTGTAACGATCACTAAGTGGAGGTCAGAGGTCATGGAGCCCCATATTTCTGCTGATATTTATAGTCCGCAGTTTTTAAGCTTATTGATGCTTTTTATAAAACATTGATAGATTTGAGTTCACGTCAGTATTTGCTTACCTGCTGGGGGTCAAAAGTGCACAAACGTACCTGATTTGCATGCTTCATTGTTTTCACCAAGCGGCAATAAAGGAGATGCTGCAGTTCCTTTGGTGACCACTTGAGGCTCCAAAAGTTAGGCGATCCCCATAGGCTCCAATGTTAAATTGACCACCTTTACAGCAGAAATAAACATATTTACAGCCTCATACAACAAATTGTTTTGTTTCCCCCATCATAAAAATTACACAGAGGGGTGAATCTTTTTTAAAAGGCAACTTTTCTTATTTTCTTGAAGTGCTAATCAGAATCAGAATCAGAATCAGAATACTTTATTGATCCCTGGGGGAAATTATTTAAGTTTGTATTATTGCTGGCATGTGCTGCCCAGTTAAATTGACTTCATTTCAATTAGTTAAAGTTACTTAACTAGACCTTTCATATTGTGTTTAGGGTGTTGGTGAATTGTATTGAAAGATTGAAATAGTTACCATGTCACCTATTGGTCTTTAAACTTGAAGGTTCAAAGCTAGCAGGTTCTCTCTTGTTTGTTTTTTTTGGTTTTTCCCCCCGTAATTTTAATCCAATGTGACAACATTTGGACTTAAAAAGCAAGTCCTAAATTAACAGCTACCACCAACAACATTATCAAAGTGGAGTGTTCCAGTTCAAAGTATAAAATTGAACTTTCCTTTCCAGTAAACAGTAAAGCTGACATTTGCGAGTCTGCGCATGAGTTATTCCAGGTATCATTTAGGTTTTTTATGATTTATTTGATATTCTGGTGTGTTATTACTTTCATCTCACTCCCTCGTTCAAAGACTGTCACTTCTGGCTCCAAAAAACCAATGTGGTTGTGAAGCGAAAATTGGAGCCTTGAAAGTGCAGAGCTCACAAGCCAATATAAACCCTATTGTCTTAACAATACCAGCTAACAACATTAGCCAATGCTGTCACTGTCTGTAGATAGCTGCTATTCTTACACGGTTAACCTCTTGCCATATCGTTCATAGACCCATCCATAGGTTTTTGTGTGTGTAGATGTAAACCAATAAGGAAGGGGGTTTGCCATTTAAGGCAGGCTGATGATGAAATGCCAGGAGATCCTGGTGATGCGATTAGCCGAGTGCGTCTGGAGACCGGTGGACCTTTAGAGCCACCACAGGATTATAACTAAAGTAAATCATCTGTTTTATATCGTATGTTTCTTCATTTTATGCCTATTTAGCTTTTGCATTTCAAGTGAAAACACACAAAGGGTCGTATTGATTTCTGTGACTGCAGCAGCGGCAGAAGAGAACAGACAAAAGACAGATTTTCAGCTTCACAGTAGATAAAATGAGAACTTAAATGCATGATACTCAAAAAAGAGGAATGAAACAAATGAAACTCTTTTTGGTTGGTGTTATCTTTGGACCTCTGCCTGCAAAGATAGGTGGGTGAGACGAGCTGGGAAAGACAGACAGATGTGAGGTGGGGAGCACAGAGGGTGGTGGAAGGAGAGCGTTATTGAGGGGAGGGGGGGATTTTTTTCAGGAGTCTTAATGGTCAGTCTGTCCCCACAGAGACTGGCTCAAATGTCAGGTCAGCTATGAAGTGACCTCCATCCCGCTTGCTGTCTTTATCCTCCGAGTGTGTGTCTGTCAGTGTGTGTGTTGGACTATTTTCACCCAAAACCTCACCAAAAATATCAGAACATATTTTGTCTTTATGAGAATGCTTTCCTTTCTTTTCTTTGTTTAAGATTGCGCCTGTGGTGCAGCTTGAGGCTGCTTTTCAGAGCTGATGAGACCATGAAAGATAATATTAATGTCCTTAAGATGACAAAAATTCCAGCATAAGAGGGTCACTGTGTGTATTCTTTAGTATTGTCTGATGCTGAACCCTCACGGGCTGATTTCAAACTCCTGCTGTTTTCTGATAAAACCCTCTGATTCGTTTCTCTCTGCAGGTAAGGCCCTGACCTTCCTGCTGCTGCAGCCCCCCAGCCCCAAGCTGCCTGCCCACAGCACCATCCGACGCACCGCCATCGATCTGATTGGTCGAGGCTTCACCGTGTGGGAACCGTACATGGATGTGTCGGCGGTGCTCATGGGACTACTGGAGCTGTGCGCCGACGCCGAGAAGCAGCTCGCCAAGTGAGTCACGACGAGCCGCTTAAACAAATGAAGTTGCTGCCTTTTTAAAAAATGTTTCATATCAGACCGAAGATGCTGACAAGATAAATGTAAAACAGTTTTAAGAGTTTCCTGCTCACTTTGCCTTCATCTTCATGAAAATCATCATGAGAGTCTAACTGCATGTATACTAGAGTCCTTAAAAGTGTCATAGTGTTGGTCTGTTGTGTTGGCATGAAGGCATCTTAAAGACACACTACTAAAAGATCAGGAGTCGTTGTTTCATGCAGGCTGCAGTGGTCGTTGGTGTTTTCACCGACGGATTCTCCTGTAAGGGCAGACTGGTTGAAATGGACCCTCACTAACAAATAGTTTCTTTTTTTTACACGCAGTATTTTCACATTCACACCGATTTGACGGTGTTTCACATAATTTGGTAAATTTTTTTTATTAAAAAAAAAGATTTTGCATCTGGAAATTGAACGCTCTGCATTTGTTTACTTTCTCTCCAGCGACTGAAAACAGACAATTTGTCTGTACTCACTTCCTGTTTGTTAATTTGTTAAATTGTATCCGTCCCTCTCAGATTCCAGAGTATATCCTATAGATACAAACATATGCATCCGCACAAATACAGACACACACACACCCACACACACACACACACAAACGAACATTATATAGCCGACACAGTGAGTTATGGAAGCCCGACTCTAATCTGATTTCAAGACATTATGATGATGTAACGATGTCTGCGTTGGCCTGACACGAAAGTCCTCTGTCTCTGTGCACACATTTGTCTTTTTCTTCATTTTATTTAGCATTTTGTGCCCCACTTAAAGTGGCTCTTAAAAATTTCCATCTAGAAAAGCAAGAAGATTGCCCTGCAGTCTCTAGCTCCAGACAAGATTAACCCATTAGACTTTAATCAGGTGAGAGACAAGATCAGATGTTAACAAAGTACACAATATTAGCGCCAGTGTGTGGAGCAGAGCTGGTTTCACGTACTCAACCATCAACATTACTGGCAGCAGAGTCGAGGTCAGAGGTCGTGGCTGCCTTCATGCAGTCAAAGTGAGGTTGTGGTTTGAAGCAGCTTCTTACACAAGCGAAGGTCAGGGGTCATGCGGAGAGGCTAATTCAGTGGCTTCTTCTTCATGTATGATACAAAGAGCAGCACGTGTGCGTCTTCCTCCCTGCTGAAATCTAACTGGCCAATATGAGTTGATCCTATTAAGTCTGAAACTCGAGCTGGCCCAGTCTGGTTAAATGAGTATAGATATGTCTGCCTGTGTGTGTGTCCGTGTGTGTGTGTCCGTGTGTGTGTGTCCGTGTGTGTGTGTGTGTGTTCGTTCATTTTTGTTACCTCCCTGGGACCTCTCTCAGTATAAACACTGACCTTAGTCCTCATGGGGACCCAAACCAGGTCCTAATGAGGCGAAACATCGTTTCTGGGGTCCCGGTTAGGGTTTGTGTTGGGCTGTTCACAATAAATTGAAGTCAGTGAAGTATTCTAGCAAGGAAAGCTGCAGAGTGGTGTGTCAGGAAGGGAAATGACACAATTCCATTTTAATGGAATACATTTTCGGTCAAATAGAAAGAGAAGATGCCTATAAGATCCACACAAGAATTAATGCAAAAAAATTATTGTTATAAGTTACAGTACAGTGAAAAAACATTGATACAGTAGATAAAGTTGAATATGCCAGTAGTGTAAAAAATAGCAGTCAAAAATTTGATTGACTCCAAGCAACTTAATCCTCATAGTGCTTCCAATCACACCAGGAGCGTCTCAGAAGCGTCATTTTTATTTTACCCCCTTCCCCCTTGCACAGTCTTTTATTTTGAAAATTTCCTGTGTTTGACGTGCATCTCTTTTCACCTCTTCTGTCACTTTATATTTTTAGTAATTTTATATTTCAAGTAATTGCTGACAAGCTTATGCCCTGGTGAAGTGCTTGTCTATCCCTTCACAATTTAAATATTTACTACTTCTTTTGGAGCATTGGTCAGATTTTAACTGACACACACTGGTCACTTTAGGAGCTCTTTGCGCAAAGTGCGGTCAAGATCAAGGCTGAGTGAGCTACGACCTCACTGATGTTGTTTTATCTTTTGTTCTTTTAATAACAATCTTCATGAACCTTTAAAACATATGATGCAACACAAGACAACAATAAAAAATTTATTTAAAAAAACAGGCAGACATAATTGTTATAATCTTGTCTTTAAAAAAAAAAATATATATTTTTTTTTTTACAGAACCCCAAGTTTTACACATTTATTCCACCTTAAATCACATGTTTCTGCGAATATAATTACATCACATGGAGATGATGTCCAGTCAAAATGCATAATTTAATAACACAGTTGATGGGTAAGTAATCCCTCTAACGTGTATATGGATGTGTATAATATGCCAGTAAATAAATTCAGATTAATAAAAGGGAAATGTTAAATAAATTAATAAGAAATGAAAAATAAAGTTAACGGTAACAGTCAGAGAAAATACTAAACTGGAAACTGAAAATAAATTTAAAGGATTTTTGAATATTCAGTTTGAGAAAGATTATCTCAAGTCTCCTTATAGTAACAGCTGTCCCAATAATCCTTTGATAACCTTTTCAACATAGGCAAAAATTTGTCTATATTATCTATCAACCTCTGGAATCACATTTGAGACTAAACTAAGGTATAGCAAAAATAAGCAGTAGCACTAACGAGAGCTTCAATTAAGCTATTATCATGTGGTGTGTGTTCAGGAGTCACATTATAGGAGAAGTGTTGCAGTATCAAATGTTCTTTTTTAGATACTTTAGTTTAGAGTCCCCAGCGACTTAGTGGTGAGCTTAAGTAAATACTAAAACTTAAAATACGCACGCGCACACACACACGGAGTTCATGACCATGCATAATTAATAATGTGAAGTCTGCAGGTGTGTGGTGTTGCCTCCTGGTGTTGTTGAAGTAAACAGCACGAGGGCTGATCAATGAGACGCACAGTAATCACATCAGTACATTATAATACATACGGAGAGGATGCACGAACACACACACACACACAGTCAGTATTCAGTATTCCTTCACTTGGGCAATTTTCTTTTCTGTGGACAGAGAAACAAGGAGTTGAATGCATTACTGGCTAAAAGAGAGCACACACGCTCACTCTTTCTTTCTCCGCTCTCTCTCTGAGGATGTATTTCCATGCAGCTGACTTGCAGTGAGGCTTTTTGTCCCTGATCCACCCAACCAGTTGTCAATACACTTCTCGCAGAGCTGTGTGTGTATGTGGGATAATCCCTTTTCAATAGGTAGAGATTTGAAAAAGCTCCCGGTGTGGAAGACTTGCACTTTATATTTTCAGACACACAAGCCAAAAAAAAGAAAAGAAAGGGAAAGAAACTGCTTCAGCAGTCTCCACACAGTTTTCAAGGAATCCATTCTAAGAGGTAAAAGCTGCTTTCAGCAGACGCACACCTTTATATGCTCTGCCTGTCTGCTTACTGTCTGAATAAACACCTGAGTTACTTTTATGTGAAGGTCATCGGTGCGTCCTGACCCTACCAGAGTTATTATAGTTACTACTAACTAAAGCTAAGTGTGAAGACATATTTTACTTAACTTAAATAATAAGTGTAGTAATAATAATAATGATAACTAGACTATAAAAATTACTGATAAAAATACACAGAAAATATTCAGGGTCATTTCATGAAAAATCAATCTGCGCCTTCCACCTGACCCATATAGAATTGGCATTTTTTTCTCTCTCGTTTATTTATGTATTTATTCTGTGTGTTTACCTCTGTGCATCTAACCAGAAAGTTCCACTGTGGTCGAATCTATTTCACAAGGGAGACCTGGCCAAGGTAGCAGCCACACAAACTCTTAATATATTAAAAATACGACACAAAGTACAAGACATACAACATGGTATAAAACACTAGTGCCATCTCCAGGAAACGCTAACACATTCCTTATTCCGTATAATTTCATATCCAACGAATGTGGTGAAGCTACTAGAGTAGCTTTGCATGATTAATGGGTCGTAATAATCCATATTCCCTTTAGACTCACTGGCCACCACTTCATTAGGCACACCTTCCCAGTACCAGGTTGGACCCTGCTGCTTTAATTCTTTGTGACAATGATTTAGCAAGGTGCTGGAAACATTCCTCACAGACTTTGCTAAATGTTGACATGACAGTATCACATTGAACTCATTGTCATGTTCAATAAACCCGAATATTTCAGCTTTGTGTCACTGCACTGAAAGCAGAAGATGGATACAGTGTGGTTATAAAGGGGTGGACAGGATGAGTGACAATGCACAGGCAGAATAAAGCAGGATGGATCAATGCTTTCTTGTAGTTTACACCAAAGCCTGACCATCCAAATGTTGCGGCAGAAACTGAAACTTGTCAGGCCAGTCAACGTTTTTCTAATTTTCTGTTGTCCTGTGTTGGCGAGCCTATGCAAACTGTAGCCTCAGTTTCCTGTTCTTAGCTGGCATGAGGGGCACTCCGTGTGGTCTTCTGCTGTTGTCTTCTTCTTTAAGGTTCAGTGTTTTCTGCATATCTTTTTTTCTAATGAGTGCTTATTTGGTAACTACTCTCTGAGAGACAGAGAGAGAGTGTGTTTTACCCAGGTGGTCAGTCATAGCTAGCCTACAAAATCATAAAGAATTCAGTGGTAACCAATTAATGTAATGAAACAAAGAGAAGCATGGCTGACTGGAAATGGAGTAGGTTGTGTGCATATAATCACAGGCTGAGTAGTTTTTATTCCTTAAGTCAAAGCCACTTTTACTTTGAGATTTCTACCATGATCAGCAATATGTACATTAAAGAGGAAAGCTTGGCATCTTTCCATACCCCCAAATAGTTTTATGCTAAAATTGTGTGGGATTGTTACAAACAAGATTTGACTGCAAGCTTTTTCTGCAGTATCTATTCTTGTGGCCCATGCACTATTGTATGGGTATCCTGATTAAGGCTTTTTCCACAGTGATTGTTGGATCTTTAAATTCTGTTCTCATTTGCACTATCTATAAGATCACTCTGAATTTAAGCCCGCTTTCGTACTACATATCTACAGAGATATCACATTTATATAGAAAGTTTTCTAAAACGTTGAGGGTGTTTGAATCTCCTCCCGGTCTCCATCCAATCAGACCACCACAGGGATAAATGCATGTTTTCAATGTGTTTGTCTTGCAGGGATAAATACATCTTTTTACACTGTATTTGTCTGTCTACAAGTTTTGAACGATTGCGTTTCTCATGCAGGGGTAAATGAATGCTTTGGCGATCTGTGTGTCATGCAGAGATAAGTACATGTTGTTGTCACCATGGATGTCCACTCATGAACCCTAAAGGGAAAAACAAAAATCTGGAAACTGCAGGTCACCATTACTGATCAGTTTTGATCTGTGGGTGTGTTTGTGCAAATTCCACCCAGACCTGAGATAAGGCTGTCAGAAACTCAGGAATATCATAAATATTGTTCCAAAATGTCAAAAAAGAAATGAAAAAATTATAATTAACCACTGAAAAGCCAGTGTCTGCTGTAAAGATTGCATCAAAAGGTTGCCCTACTCTCCACCTCTCCACCATGCTCTCTGTAGTCTGTGGGTACATTTACGGTCAGTAAACCACGCCTTTAAGCAGCTGAGAAAACCAGTTAGTCAGTCCATTTAGACCAACACAGTGATGCGTGACCAGCCCATGTCAGAGTTTATGTGAACGGGTCAGCACACGCCAGCTAACCCTCCACAGATAGGACACCGCCAAGCTTTTAAGCATCCATCTCTTATTTATTTTTTTTGGTCTAAAAATCTTTAAATCTATAAAAACTGTTACCTTTAGATTAAGGTGTTTTAAAAAAAAAAAAAAAAAAAAAAAGGTTTAATAAATTGAACTTTAGTTCTTTCCATTTAATTGAATTGTTTGCTGCCATTTATTCATTTTATCAATATTTTTTATTTCTTGATGTTTATGAAAAGCTATGAATGATGACCAAAACATAACTTAAAACACTCCTTGTAGAACAGAAGAGACAGAGTGTGGACATGGCAAATGGACTGGTTCTTATATAGGGCTTTTTTGCTCTGCCTTCTCTACCTTTACACAACGTGCCTGATTCAACCGTTCACATACCCATTCTTACAAGCACTTTTTTTCTATGTTTTGTCTACGTAAATGCTTTCTAGCATTCTGTCTAACAGCTTGGAGTTAGTATGTTGCCCAAGGATATTTGGCATGCAGACTGGAGCTGCCAGCAGATTAGTAGATGACCTGCTCTACATCCTGAGCTGATCAACATATTCACACAAATTCCCTGCAGCATACTTACTCAGTTATTACGGTAAACAAAGTAAACAAATCACCACCCCGGGATCTTATAGTGTCTTGAATCTGCATTCGTTTTAACTGTTGCCAAGGGGTGACACAAAAAGACTTCTGGTCTTGTACAAATCTGTTAAAATTACTCTCTGCCCAAACCTCTGTAAAATGTTTCCTACCTAATTTATGGGCTCAGTCGGTCAATTTTAGGTGATATTAAATAAAAAATATGAAATTCATTTTGTAACTGTCACTATACAGGATATGCTTAGCCAATCAGCTTGAAGCCCACGCATCACTCCTCGAACCTGGTTTAAAAACAGCAAGATGGCAAGAATGAAAACACTGGTGGCTACATCCATCTTTTGTACTGTCTATAGCGAGTCCTGTGGTCAGACCAAATGACTCTGAGAACTTCCACTTGTTAAGAACTGCAGAACGTTTAGAATCAATGCAAGGAGGGTTGCTCCTGAAAATTTAAAGGAATCATTTTGAATATGGCTGGGTGGTTGTTAATAAATCTGGACAGTTGAAAGTTAAACTCCAGTCACCCAACCCCAGTAAAAAGTAGGGTCATCAGTCTACATAGAAAAGGTCAAATGTGCATTAACTAGAGGCACATCTTACAATTCAGAAATGATCCAGTAAATCAGTCTGTAAACAGTCCAGTTACCCCATCTGCAACTCAGTGAGAAAGCCAATCAGTAAGCCAGTGAGTCTCTGGAAGTCACTCAGCCATATACACACAGCGCTGGCTTCTTGCAGCGTGGATTCTGGTCATGTGACTGGAGTTATTCACTCCTCCCTCGCACACAAAAATCAATACTTCCAGTCCTCGCTCTGTGTGTGTGACTTGGTATCGACTGGATAATGTCAGCGTGATATTGGCTGTGAATACAGCCATGTTGCCAGCTTCTCTCTCTCTCACACACACACACAGTAAGCCCTGAGTGTGTGTTTCATGTCAGCACTGAAAGTTCATCACAGTGGAATCCTTTCCATCTGGACTCATTAATCCATTTCAGTACAACCACTTTAATGCTGAATTTTTGTTTTTATTTCTGCTAGTTTGGATGATGAAACACTCTTAAAATAGACCCATTTTAATATTTAATTTTATTTATTAATATTTTCTTGGGTTTAGTTTTGTTTCATGACTCTGTGTGTCTCTCTCTGTCTCCTGTGACTCTAATGGTAACCCAGATTATTTCATTACATGTGCTAAACGCTGGTTATTAACCTCAGCCGGTCTCGGCACAATTGGCCCTTTGCTGCCTTATATCAACACTGTGACTGTTTCCAATTACAGCCACCTCTCTGAATGAAATTAAACATTTCAATATTGCTGATATATTGCCGATATATTACCGGTATTAATTACGAGATCTGTGGCTGTGATGTGTAATCAGAGGAGATGAATCGTGCAACTCGCCCAGCCGTCCACCCATGTCTCTCGCTCTCTCGCTCTCCCTCTCCCTCCCTCCCTCCCTCCCTCCCTCCATTTGTTAACAAGGTGGCCTCACTCGCCCTCGTAGTCTTTTTTTTCTCTTACAATCATACACATACACTCTCTGAGGGTGTGTGTGTGTGTGTGTGTGTGTGTGTGTGTGTGTGTCTAATTCCTGTTGCATTGTGGGAGTCCATTATGCTGTCGCCTGGTGAATGGCTCCCATTGACTTGGCCTTGACATTATAAGCTGCTGGCTAATCTCTTCACTCCATATATTTGTAAAACTCAATCTCGCCGTTGCTTTTCTCAGATTTGTCTTGTTTTCTTCCACTCGCCTAAAGTGGCTGATTGAAATGTCTAAGTCCCCCTTTAGATTTGTAAAATCTCTAAGAGATAAGCCTCGCATGGTTTTCTTATTGTCAACAAATCCCAGCAAAACCACATAAAACAATAATGAGTATGTCCTGGGTTTAAATTTGGTGCTATGGCTTTTTTTTTAAGGCCTCATAACTTCATAATCACCAAAGATGGAAGATTCAATTTTCAGTGCTGGGAAACACACTTTGGCTCTGTTTAAAAACTGAAACCAAATCAATTTTACATTCATTCAAAGTGTCACAATTTACAAGCAAAAAATTGCCTTCCATAGCGATCTTTTCAGCATCAATGTACTGCGATATGTTGTAGTATCAACAGCAAAAATCCCCTAATCTATTGTCTATGAAGAATAAGAGGAACATAAACAGTAATTTCAAACATCTGAATGATACATTTTACTCCCTCGTTCTACAGTGTCACCATGGGTTTGCCCCTCAACCCTCCAGCAGATTCGGCCCGTTCAGCCCGTCACGCCCTCTCTCTTATTGCCACCGCCCGGCCGCCTGCCTTCATCACCACCATTGCAAAAGAGGTGTGTTTTCAGACTTCTTTACCAGCTGCTGAAACCAAAGCCATCTTATTAGGTACTCACCAACTGTTTTCCCTCTCCAGCTCTTATAAATATAAGTGTTATATCTTTTCAGGTTCATCGGCACAACGCTGCTCAGGCGAACTCTCAGTCACAGCAGAACATTCACACGACCACTCTGGCCAGAGCCAAAACAGAGATCCTGCGAGTGATCGACATCCTGATTGAGAAGATGCCTGGAGACGTCGTGGATCTTCTGGTTGAAGTAATTCGAACTATATTTGAGATCGATGAAAGATAACATTCTCAAAAATCCCAGCCAAGGACACAAGCATAATATAATTCAATTAAGTATTTGACTTTACCAAAATAAAAAAGGAGCTCTTTTTACCCTTAGACAACTATTGTTATTAATGACGCCAGTGAAAGCTAGCATCATCCAAAACAGAAAAGACCTAAAAGTGCTGAATCAGAAGCTGCTGGCTAGTCAACCCCATGACTCAGGGTTGGATTTATAAACCAAACTAAAGGAGAGTCAGAGAAGATGATCTGTTCAGACCCTGGCAATAAAAAGTGTTTAATACATGGAAACAAGCTACATAGGTTAACTTCAACTACAATAAAAACTGTTCTCCTGATCCTTAGGTGATGGATATCATCATGTACTGTATTGAAGGTTCTCTGGTGAAGAAGAAAGGACTGCAGGAATGTTTCCCTGCTATTTGCAAGTAAGTTTGTCATCAGGTTCAACCCCAAGTAATATCTTCAAACTGGGAGGGGCTGGGAAAGGCGAGCTGGGCCCTGACTGCTGTGTCTGTGACCGTTTACATTACATTAAGGTGTGTCAGTCTCAGTGTGCTATTAGTGTTTCCGTTTGTTTGTTTACATAAAAATTAACCTTGAGGCGGGGGTGGGGGTGAGCCCCAGAATTGGACAAGAGGAAGAAAATGGATGAATGAAATCTTCCTTCATCGCTAAACATCTTCCCTTATACAGTGTTAAATGTTCATGTGTGTTTGCTGTCCACCTTTTTAGGTTCTATATGGTTGGTTACTGCGACCGCAGTCACCGCATCGCTGTCGGAGCTCGCCAAGGTTCAGTGGCCCTCTACGATGTCCGTACAGGGAAATGTCAGGTACATCGAAAAACTTAAACTGATCAGTTTAAGCTGTTTGATTACACCAGATGAAGTTGGTTTTTACTCTGGACCCCAGCTTTACACATCCTTTCTTCCACCGCCTCCTTCACACAGATCATCTTCTTTTTCATTCATTTTCCCACTCTCATCCATCCATCCATCCATCCCACTTTGTATTAATCCACCCCTGCATGTAGCCTTCACGGCCCAAGGCGTTCAACAGATTTCCAACCATAATTATGACTGCACGTGGAAAACCAGCTGTCTCCACAGATAGGTCTTTAGTACAGAGTGCAGGAGGCAAAGAGAGATTTCATCAATGATTAGAAAACCAAAAGGTTAATGTCTGGTATACAAAGTCCTTGAAGCAGGGGAAGGCGAGAAGGTAACCAAAACTCAGATATATTAACTAAACTCTAAGACATCTCAAAACTTAAGCACCATCATGTTTTCATCCTTTTATAATTAGAAAACACATGTGAGCAGGTAAACTGAGTGTTCAGTTTTTGTCTTTGGCTTTTGCATGCACTGATGTCATTATTTGGCCATATTTAATCCATCTGAAACAGCAGATATGACAGAAAATTAAGCATAATAGATGCCTTTAATCTCTGTTTGCTCATTATGTTGGAAAGTTTCCATCTGTTTGCAAACAGGATGCTTTAGCTCAAACTGGAGGAAATGAGGAGGAGCAGAAACAGTAGGTTTAAATGAGAGAGGAGGAGATAAGGAGGAGAGGAGTTTCATTTTTTCACCCCTCAGTAATTGATTAATGATGAAGCAATGACTCTCTTAATCATGTTTGTGTCTCGCGCGTGTGTGTGAGCTGCTGGTCTCCATGTTTGTGTGTATTTCTTGTATGAGCGGGTGTGTGTTGATAATTTGCTGTGTATTGATTTGCAGTAACCTGAGCAGTCTACTCTGGTGGAGGGGGTCATTTATATCTGATAACAGCACGGGCCTTTTCACCCAACATCTCGTTTGATTGTGTGTGTGATTGTGTGTGTGTGTGTGAGTGTGTGTGTGTGTGTGTGTGAGAGAGTGAGACAGGAGACACTTTGTGTGTTATTTGCAGTAATTAACTTTTAATAGATAATGGCTTTGTAGGAAGTGTGTCTCTCTCTGCTTGAACCATTACAGGTGTTTTATTTCAGGTGCAACATAAAGCTATTATCTTTATTAACACACTTACAGAAATGGGTAATTAATTCAGCCAGAAAAGAAGAATGTTTAAAGCTCACTATTTCTTAAATGGTCTTCCCACAGCTGTAATTAAAACCTGTACAGCAAGGCTTCTAGCTGCAGCAATGTTCCAGGCACCTAATATTAGTCGATTAAACAGTAGAGGAGTCTAAAAGTGAGCAAACACTAAGAAAACGGTTAAAATTAAGTGCAGGCTAATGGATGAGGTTAAAAATTGGCCAGACAAATACTTTTGCTGTATTTAGGAGTCTTTTAAAAACCAGAATTAGCGTTTATAAATAACCAGCTCTTGAGTGTAACCAGTGGTTTGCACTTTGTTGTAAACCCTCTTTATTTACATACTTGAGAACTTCCCATGATTCAGTAGCTTGGGAAGCCACCTTCTCTCTATGACTTCAGTCTCTCACATCATGGGGGAAGGATTTTGACCAACTTATCTTTACAACATTGCTTCAGTGCATTTAGGTTTGCAGGCATTGGTTTATGCACAATCCTAAGTAGAATATTTTGGTCTGTGGGGGAGTTCATGGATGACTCAATGACCGTAAGGTTACCCTTGTCCTGTAGCTGCAAAGCAAGCCCAAATCAGCACCCCTCCACCACCACCACGGATGGCTATAGCTCAGGCAGTAGAGCAGGTCATCTACTGATCGGAAGGTTGGTGGTTTGATTCCTTGCTTCCCCTAGTCTGCATGCTAAATATCCTTGGGCAAGATATTAACCCCAAATTGCTCTCTGATGTATCCATCGGAGTATGAATGTGCGTGTTAGTTAGAAAGCACTAAGAAAATGTTCTTGTGCGAATGGGTGTGAATGTGTGAATGCACATTGCTTTGAGTGCTCAGAAGAGTAGAAAAGCGCTATATAAGAACCAGTCCATTTACCACCACCACCGCTGATACGTTGTTTGGTTTTCTCCAAACGTGGTGGTGCTGCGCATTATGCTTGAACATGGTAAATGGCCTGTATTTGTATAGCGCTTTTACTTAGTCCCTAAGGACCCCAAAGCGCTTTACACATTCAGTCATCCACCCATTCACACACACATTCACACACTGGCGATGCCAAGCTACCAGTCAGGCGCACTGACAGAGGCGAGGCTGCCGGACACTGGCGCCACCGGGCCCTCTGACCACCACCAGTAGGCAACGGCTGAAGTGTCTTGCCCAAGGACACAACGACCGAGACTGTTGGAGCCGGGGCTCGAACTGGCAACCTTCCGATTACAAGACGAACTGCCACGATCGCCCCTCTTCTTCAACATCACCACTTTGGTTTCGTCTGTCTAAGGGACATTGTTCCAGAAGTCATGTGGTTTGTTCAGATGCAAGTACAACAATGATTTTTTTGAGGAAAAAAATCATTTAATTTGCAGTGCAGCGTGTCACTTACATCACCGAGCAGAGAAAACCGCTTTCACTTCTGAGGAAAAATATTTTTTTGTTGCAACTCTTTGACTGCAGAATAATACAAAACCGAAGTTTTCTGAACTACACTTTAGATTGTTGCACCAGACTCAGTTTAGAAAATCATGCACTCATAATAGTCAGCTTGCCAATGTCCATCCATCCATTCTCTTCCTCTTATCCTTATCAGGGTTGCAGGGGGCTGTTCCAAGTTACACAAGTAAATTGCTGTGTACTCAAAAGGGGAATTCGGAAACGGTGTGTTGCATCACCTCTAAGAATGTCAGCTGTCAGTTTGTGTTCATGACAACTTAAAATAATCATCACAATAGGGGCCAGCTTTGTCCTCCATGGGGCTAAATTTTTATTTTTTTTTTAATTTTAAAAATTAAACGCAGCAGCAGAAAGTTGTCAGATCTCTTTAGAGACTTCTGAATAAACGGCATCTCCTTGGAAAAATGGGAACATCTCGATTTCCAAGAATTTCAGAGGAGCTAAATTGTTTGACTTGTTTTGGTGTACAAAGTGAGAAGGAGGAGAGAAAGGAGAGACGACCTCTTTGAAATAGTGGAGGAGGCGAAAAATGGGGACCAGAAGAAAAGCAAAGACGGAGAGTAGAAGGAGATGAGAGGCAGTTTTTGTTCATAATCAATCTTTGCATGTGTGTGTGTGCAAGCGGGTGTGTGTGTGTGTCCAACCGTAGCTAGCTAGTCCCCGCATGACCATCTGCCACGGCTTTGATCAGCCTCCGTGAACAGCCCTTTGTCAGCAGCGTGTGTGTGTGTGTGTCTCCAGCTGCTTGCTTCTTTAACAGACTCTACTCAGTCTACTAATTGAACACAAAGAAACAATCTGAGTGATTTCGTACCTCTTTTTGCATCTGTTTCTCTCTAACAGCTGAAACCTGCAGCTGAAGGTGGCAGCGTAGCCAAAATTAACCTGAAGAATCGTCTCCCGCAATGCATGACATGATGAATTAATGTAAACTGTGTCCCTATTCTGGTGGTAATTGGGCTACTGTGATACCTACACCACGTTCAGCTGCTATTTGCTGTGTAAAACACTCTATGAGGAATATGTTTTTAACTGCAGATGTTCCTGGAAACTAAATGCTAAAGTTATAAATGAGGGGAAAAATGAGTCTAAAAGTAAGAAGACGTACTCTGGTCATATAAATAGTGTCTGTGTATTTAAGTGCTATTTGAAAGTATTAATCTAGTTCTTTGATAACCATATTGCATTTTAAATGGACGATGATTTGGGTAGAAGCCTCAGTTAGATGTCAGTTTAATCCCACAGCCAATAAACAGCCACTCCTCTTATAATTCAAAGTACTGTTTCTACCTTTAAATTGTTACGATGTTCAAGTTTAGTTAAAAATTTGAAAGATTCTAATTTCTGGTGTCAACTAGCGAGAGCAGTAACAGCTTCTAGTCCACCAGTCACACTCACCCTTGTTTTTCTAGCTGTACTTATTGTTGACAGGAGGAAGTTGGTTTTATTCCTGTAGCTGTCTTGGTCCTGGGTTGTTTTTTTGTGTTGAGTTTTTTGTCCACACATAACAACTTCTCACTATTATAATTCCCATCTGATGATAACATACGGGGTACTGCCCGTCCAAAACCCCCAAAGAACCCTCTCCTATTGGTTAACGTAATAGTTGTTCAGCAAGGGGGCGGGATTTACAAGCTGTCAGTCTTCGTCAGAGAAGATGGAATAATAAAATGGGGTGAAGCACCCATGTGATGCACACGCGCACATACACACACAGACACACAGAGCGGAGCCCCAGGCGTCAGGTGTATTGGAGTACAGAGTGCTGTAAATGGTTTCAGTGTGCTTCACTGCGCTCTGATAGGTTGATTGATTTGGTAGGCAGTCCACTGTGACACACACACACACACACACACACACACACACACACACACACACACACACACACACACACACACACACAGATCATAATATATATGGAAGCATCAATGTTTAATCCATGTTATACAATTTGTTTTCTACATTATTTTTTATTTCACCTTCTCTGCATGAGGATCTGAGAAAGACAAAATAATATTTAAATGAAGTGATTAAAACTAACAGTGACTGTGAACCAAAGCGTGATGATCGCTGCTATGAGCAAGAAGGATGGATGTCAGGCAGAGGAGCTAGTTCATGCATCCACAGTGAGGAAAAACAAAGATACCTCCTCAATTTCTGACTTTTAGAGGGCATCTGAACAAAATGGCAGCTGCACATCAAATGAAACTGTCCCCACATAGCAATGTCAGAATCCTCTGTTTATTGTCAGGAACTCAAAAATTGTCTAAAAAAAACAAAACAAGATAAACACCTGAATATAAGTAACTAGCTCTCATGTGTGTCTAAACCTAAATTTGTTCTGTTTTCTAAGCACAAGAGCTGGGAGACTGTGTAGTTGACTGATGAAGCCGATGGAGAAGAGCCCAAAACTCCAGTTCCTCTAATGCCCACCTGAAGCTCCAGACTTTAATTTTGAAATGTCCAACTTTACAGCAGAAATTAACAAAAAACTGCACGAGGGGTAGAATTTGTCTGCTAGACTTTACATCTGCAAATTTGAATCACTGAATTAGATATTTTGGAGCATTTTACCATTCTACTACATTCCCAGGTTGTCTTCTCTTGTTTTCATTGTGTGTTCTCCCATTACCTCACATTATCAGCTAGGGCTGTGCGATATGATCAAAATCTCATATCCCGATATAAGACATTTATCGTCCCGACAACAATATATATCACGAAACTTTTACATTTTCTGTACATTCTGTGAATCTCAGGCAATCATCTCGACTCATCTTCACTGGCCATGCTGGTATTCTCTGTGCCTGCATCCACGTGGTGACTGTAAGCACCATTTATAGTTCATGTTTTTATTTGAGGTAATTTGTTTGATGCATATTCTGAAATTTGATATTTGAGAATAATGTATTTTGTTATCATTTCAGTTTATTTTGAAAAACCTTAACAGGATCTTTAGCTTTATAGTAAAAGGTTTATGTGGAAAATAAACAAGCGGACGTGGAGCCGCACGCTGGATTTATCGTCGTTGTTGCTAACGACAACGCATAAAAACAGTCGGTAGTCCGTCTGTAGTGTGGTTATTTAAACATAAGAGAAAGAGAGAACTTTAAGAAATTAATATAATCACTACAGTGACCATCAAAATGATGAAAATATTGCCATTAACAGTTTATTTTGCAACACCACGAAACAAATGTGCGTAATATGAAACGATAGATGCTTTCACATCATCTGAGATATATATATATATATATATATATATATATATATATATATATATATATATATATATATTTATTTTTTATTTTTTTTATTTTGCTGTATTGTTATATCGAACAGCTCTATTACCAGCAGTTTTAAAATCATGTATCACTTCTATGCTGATGACACTACGTCTCTTTTAAATCTCACGAATTGGATAAGTTGTTTTAAAATTTCAAATCAATGTCATTTTTATTTATATAGCACCAAATCACAACAGCAGTCACCTCAAGTCACTTTACATTGTAATGCCATTTTAAAATCTTGGTTCGGTCTTTTATGCCCTCACCGGGTGAGGCCCCCAACCTGCACTATGGAAATAATCCATTCATGTGGTCAGGTTCTCAGACAGGGGCTTTTTTGTGATTCCGCTGAAAACTAAAGATGATTGGGTCTTCCAGACCCCAAAACTTCCAAAACTATGGACATCTTACCACTATCTTTTCACAACCTTGACTCCATGGTTGTCCTGTTCTTTGACCTCATCCTTGTCTGAACAGATTCATTTTAAACCCCCAGTTTAAAATAAATCTGCTGAGACAAGCAATTGCGGTAGTGTCTGTGTTTTGTGTTTTCCTGGGCATTTGGCTGTTTTGGTTTATTTACCTTTGTAAAAGCAGGTTGTGACTCTTCTTGGTCTCGAAAAGCACTTTGAAGACAGTTTACTTATTGGTTTTGGATTAACATGACTGTGGGCATTTTGACTTAGAGCAACTGGATGTAGTTGTCATATTTCCCTCTGTGGCTTCAGTATCCTTTAGTTAGGGCTGATGATTGTTTGCAGACAAACCGCATTTACTCTGTTTTTGATCATTTTCCCTTTAAGGTGAGTAGTGACAGGAAATGAGATTTGGGATCTCTCCTAAGAGATAGAAAAATGGAGGGGAAAAGTAGAGATGAAGACAGACACTGAATGGGGGAAGAGAGGGATGAAGGAAATAAAAATAATTCTGCTTTTTTCCCAGACAACACTGCTGGAATCTAATAGGGTTTGCCCTTTAAAGGGGGAAAAAAAGGAGGGAGAGAACGAATTAGAAAGATGAGATTTTCATTTCATTGTGTTATTATTTTTTTTTAAGCTTTAATCGCCACACACTGGTTATTATTTCAGAGTCTGGGTGCCTGAGGCGACGCGTCTTAATCTCATCTGGAGGTGAGAGTTTGTAATCCCAGTCGCAAGAAAAGGCAAGCGGGTGGGGGGGGTGATTTCTTTTATTGCGTTACACACCCTGCATCTGGTGGGACAGTTTATTGTGTTACACGCAGCGGTATATTTTGTCCCCAGAGTTCTGGAGGCGAATGGCAGCATCTGTCGGACCAGAAGCTGCCACCCATCTGATGGAATTATCTCTGCCAAAGCGAACACGTGCTGTCGATGCAGAGTTTTTCTAAAATGCCTCAATGAAATTTCAACAAGGGCCAAAATTTGTTTTTCATTCAGGCTTCATCACAGAGCAGAGTTTATTGAACTGAACCTCCAGCCATCAGAAAGAGGAACTGTCTGGGAAATCGGGGCATGCTGTCATTTTAGCGGCTTTAAGTGATGATAGTGAGTGATGTGCTGTTGGCTGATAAAACTGTAAAGTGATACTGTAAAGTGGTATTTTGTTCTGGTCTGTTGTCAGTGTTATAAAACCCTCAATAAAAATGGCTTCCCATCATCACAGCAACAAACAGAGCAACAAGCTCTCGTCAGAAGAGGGTTGGACATGTCAGAACTGTGCTTTTTATAGATGGCTATTTAAAGTGTAAAGCAGACAAATGTGGGGAATCAAAACCACAAACGTATTAATAAATAAGTAATAAAAGAGGTCTTTCTTTACCTGTTTGGTTGATAGGTTGCCTGCCTAATTGATTGGCTGTTTAGCTACATGCCTGCCTTCTTGTTTGGGTGGTTGCTTACGCACCTGGCTAGCTGGTTGACTGGTTATCCACCTTGTTGTTTGGTTGCATGGCTGCCTGGTTGACTGGTTGTTTCGTTGCTTCCCTGTTTGATTGCCTGGTTCCTGGTTTGGTTGCCTTCCTATTTGTTTTATTGAATTCAAGAATTATTGGCTTAGTTTAGTTATCCACCTGGTTGGCTGGTTGTATGCCTGGCTGGTTGCCCTCCTGGGTGGTTAGTTGATTGCCTACCTGTTTCTGTTTTGGTTGGTTACCAGATGTATTGGTTGATTCGGATGTCTAATTGATTTGAGTGGTTTGTTTTTCTTAGATATTAATTCATAAAACATCACAAAGATTGAATAATTTTATTTTCTTCTGAATTTACATTTACGTTTTCTTGTGTTTATTTACTTTACACTTTCCCCTAATTTATTTTTGTTTTAAATGTTTAACCAGTTGGTGGAAAATTAATTCCATAGCACAGTTTGAATTAGACCACCTCATTTGTCTTCTGAGTAAAGTACTTGTGGTAAATGTTAAAGAGTAAATATTTTAACAGGCTGATTTCTGCATGTTGACACCATCAACACACAGTTTATGACTCCTGGAGTTTTAAATGAAGTTTGCATAAGTTTTTCATTTAACAGTTACTAGTAAAAGAGAAACGAGCATTGATGCTCTGTTTTGTTTTCCATCTACGGCATGTTTTTTATTCACTTTATTTTATTCTTCATTTGTTTTTAATGAGTTTGTTTTATCCCATATTGTTCCTCTGTAGAACATTCACGGTCACAAAGGTCCAATCACAGCGGTATCATTCGCCCCTGATGGCCGTTATCTGGCAACCTACTCCAGCGCTGACAGCCATATCTCCTTCTGGCAGGTAAGACTCACCCATACAGACACATAAAAACTATCTTAATGCAATCCTTCTGAAGTCGTTAACTATTTTGTGGTAAGACTGTATAGAGTCAGATTTACAAAGGTGAGTTTGTTTCTGATGTAATAAACATGGACTTGGGTTTGTGGTTTGATATGAACTTCCAGTATATTTAAAGCAGATTTAAAGCTTTATGTGAAGGGCAACCTTTTTTGCACATTTCCACCCTTGTCTTTTTATTCAAGCAAAAAACGTTACACAAAACTAAAGAAATAGATTAGATAAAATAGATAAAAGAAAGGATGTGGTTTATGCAGTGCAAGAAATTAGACTGACCCTTTGTGCAGCTTTTTGCTTTTAAAAAAGTTTATTCTATGAGACAAGAGAATAACTTATTTCTAAATTAATATTTATATTATAAATTGGGGGGAAAACAATAGCTAAGGATTTCTTTAGTATATATACAGTGGAATAAATGCTGAGCCCTCCTTTAGACTCCTCCCTGCAGGTATCTTAAAGTTTACATGAAATCTGCCAAGTGTAAAGAGCTATCAGTTTATCAGCATGCAAACAGCTTCAGATTTCACTTCTTTTCAGACAAACCAGTGGTGGATTTGAACAAATTAAAAAATACTGTCCAGTTGGCTGCTTTCAGTCATGACTGTTCTGTACAGTGGGTTAAAAACATAAAAAACTGAATTTAGATATTTTCATTTACATGTTTACTTTTAATTCCACTGTATCTACACAAACTAAAAAATTAACTTGAAAATAAAAGTCTTAACACATAAAGCATCTAAATAAACTATAACAAACTCAGATAACCGATCAGGCTCCTCTTATCTTCTTCCAGGAACCGTTATTTTGAGTGAAAGGTCTTTACGACCTCTGACACAGATGTCTCCACACACACACACATACACACACACACACACACACACACACACACACACACACACACACACACACACACACACACACACGTTAATGGCATTACTGTAAGCATAAACCACTGTAAGCGCGCCGGCAAGACGGCTGCTGTGGTAATGAGCTGGCAGACGCTCTGTCGGGGCGTGTGTGTGTGTGTGTGTGTGTGTGTGTGTGTGTATGTGTATGTGTGTGAGGCAGTGTAGTCTTGGTTTCCACTCGCTGTGTATTTCCTACATAGACACACTCTGGGGTTAAACTCCAGGTTTTCCCTCTGAGACGTCTTCACAGGGTTCAGCAGAAACTGATGATCATCGGATGTTCAATAACTAATTTTTGTCAAAATGAGGGAGGAGATATCAGCTCTCAGTAGAAAGAGAAGGCAGTGTTTCCTACACAGACTTCACATGAGCGCATGAGTGGGACGTTCAGGTTTATTAATGGCTGTCTGAGAATGACACCATTCCCTTGCTTTTATTTTGAAAATTCAGGCAATACTGACCAGCTAGCCCAGCTCTTCCTGCCTTATGTTTTATCAGTTACCTGCTGCTCCATAAAATCGTTCTTTAAATTGTATTTAACCAGAAAGTGATACTTGAATAATACGCAGAAAACCAAGACTATGACAAAAAAGGCTCACAGAAATAGTTATAAAGTGGGTTTTCATTTTCCAGAAATGAAACTGTGAGATCAAAAATCTCTTTTAAAAGAGTACCCATGGATGAAGGTGGACCAATCCAGTCTACTGTGGATGGCTTTGCAAACTGCAAAAGTTGTTATTCAGAAAAGTCATTAATGATTCCATCTCACCAATAGCTGCATTTGCACTTACGTTAAAAACAAAGATAGCTTACTACCCATTGGTTTTACTGATTTGGCCCATCTGAGATCAACTTGTGGTGGTATGTATGTTCCCCAGGAACTAAAATTAATTTAACATACCTGACCTGCTCCAATACTGAAAAAACATCCATACAGCCAAACTTCAAACCTCCCAGGCTGGCTGAGCAATAAACTGGTTAAAATCCTCCAGGTTGCTAGTGACCTGTTTAGTGTTTGGGAAGTGCAAGTATCATAGTGATTCTCCCTGTTTTAGTCCACCAACTTTACTTTATCCAAGAAACTTGAATTGAAAGCATCTTCTAGCTTCTAGTTTATAAAACTCTGCTTGTTTAGCACATTGCTAAAAATGAAACTTAACCCTAAATTGGTCACCTATGAACACCTGGCAAATGTTAAAAGGCTTTGATTGATAGATAAGGTGAATGTGTGGCTTCATGTGTTGTTGGTCCTCCTCAGATGAACACCAGTCTGCTGGGCAGCATCGGAATGCTGAACTCTGCTCCTCAGCTTCGCTGCATCAAGACGTACCAGGTTCCTCCGGTCCAGCCGGCCTCCCCAGGCTCCCAGAACCACCTGAAGCTTGCCCGTCTCATCTGGACGTCCAACCGCAATGTCATCCTGATGGCCCATGATGGCAAGGAGCATCGCTTCATGGTCTAAATCCAAGCTGTATTTACTTCTGACAGACCTGGGCCTGGTAGGAGGTTTTTCCTTTGAAGCAGACTCTAGAAAGCTACACTCTGGATTTATTTGGTGGTAATTTTGGTATTTGCAGTTCAGATGATATTTTAGTGGCCAAGTCTTAGAGTTAAGAGATTCGAAGTATGATCAAAACTAATAGTTGAGGTCAAAATCTGAAGGAATGATAAAAGCCCAGCTCAGGCCCAGGTTTGGACCAGATTCATGTTCTCATTTTATCTCCTGCAGTAATCATTGTAAGGAAAGTGACTGTGTGATATCTTTATAGGCCGTGATAGAAGCCTTGTTTACGTGATTTGCATTGATGTATTTTTAATCATTTACTTTGCCATTCCTATTTATTTGCCGTTGATGCTGGATGTCACAGACCCTCCAAACCTTTGCTGTTAATTTAAGTCTCCTTTTTCATTTTTTTTTTTTTCATTTTTATTTCAGTTCCAGTAATTGGATCACTTGATTAATAAATGTTTTCTATGTATGGGAGGTATTTACTTTGGTGATTAAACTTTGATTAAAATGTGTATTTTTGGGGGTAGAAAATGGTGAAAGGAATTAGTTTGACCTCTGGCCTTAGGTACGCTCCGACCTCTGTAAGACCAGTACATGCATTTCACCTTTCAAGCTGCACAAATGTGCGTGTGCACATGTGAGTATTTTTGTGACACCTTGGAAGCTTTTGAAACCTCTCTGGCTTCACACAGAAGTGTTTGTGTGTGTGTCTGCACCCAAGTGTATTTTCACTGTTAAACACACATTCTCACTTCAGACTGCTCGTCCTGAAAGTCCCATTAAAGTTTTGGAGGTTGGAGGTGTAGCTGCTCTTACGGCAGATATGTAAAAGGAGACAAATTAATGCTATTTTGGTCACCTTTAAATTTAAATTAAGTTAGATACATCATCAGTGGTTACCAGTAATGGGGGGTTTTTTTTAATGGGAAAGCTCAGTTTAGCTCCCAATGTTTGGTCATTTTTAAGAAAAAAAATCATATTTCTTGTGTTTGTTAATTTCACTTGTCGCATGAACGTTTACCCCTCGTTTTGTATGTCAACTGGTTCGTAGCTGGCTGATCCTCAGCCTTCAGCACCTTCATAAAGCAAATATTCACTTTTTGGTCTAAAATATCTAATGAAATACTTCTATTTCCACCTCTTCATATTATTTTTTATTCTTCCAGTGAAATCATTCCTATCACTTCCACAAAGTTTCTCTGGACTTTGTTTCTCTTTTCAAAGGCTAAAAATTCTGGAGGTTAATACATTTAAAACAAAAGTTAAAAAAAAAACTCCTTTTTTCCCACTGGATTGTTTCTTTGCAGAGGACAACACTGTATATTTGGCAGTTGCACGTGAAATCGTCATCGTCCTCTTCTTGCAATTCACATCTGACTTTTGAAATATATCTATGACTATAAATGTGTCCATATTCAGCCAACATATCCTCAGAGCCATTGTGCAATGTATGTAGGCTGTTCATGTTGTATAGTGATCTGAGCATCTGTCCTGTTTTGTATGTATTGTGGCTAATGTGGCGAATTTCCACTTTTCCAGTTCACAATTTCCAGTCCATTTTCAAGCCTCTGCCAGCAGTTTTTTTTTGTTTTGTTTTTTTAAACCACAAATCACTTATTTTGGAAAATGTGCTTTTCCTATTGGTTAACAAGAAGGACCAAATTTATTTAGCATAAGTTAAAAGAGCCAAAATGGAAAAGTCGTCTTACGACACTAAAAATACATGATGCAGAGATACATTTATATTTAAAATGCTGCTATCATTCTAGATTTACCTTGTTTGCCCCAAGCCAAGTACAACCATCACCTCTTAGGAGGAAGATGATGAAATTTAACAATAGCAAACTAGCAGAAGTTGCACATTCTGCAGAGGGATAAACAAACTCTACAGTGTTGGTACATGATTACATCGATGTTAGGGGTGCTTAGAGATGCAACAAAGGACATTTCCAACGGCAAAATTTTACCATCAGGTTTTTGAGCTCTGTTCTTTGTGGTTGATGACACATTTTTGCACATTATTACTTTAAAAAAAATTTAACTGTTTTAGTACTCAGAGTTTTATTCAGAAAGTGAATTCTATCTATATATAAATATATATGCAAATATATTTATAGTGTTTTCTGTCAGTTGTACTGGGCTTAGATTTTTGTGACTCTTGCAAAATGCTCAAACCTTGCTTCGCTTCTATTTTCTCCCCTCGTCATTCTCCTCTCTCCAGCTCCTGTCAGTTTCATTAGTGCAGTCAGAAAGCTTCTAACACCGATACACACCTGTAAACCCGGGCGTGTCAAAGCTTTTCACAAGTTCCTCCAGCATTTCGTCAGACGGCTTCTTTTTGAAAACACGCACACACAAACAGTCCACCAGGTCCTGACAGCTTTGAGATCTTAATCTTTCGTTTTCTCCAGCACACTTAACAGTTTGAAAAAATATGTTTTTGGCAGCCTCTCGAGGGAGGAAGGGTGAGGAAAAATGAAGGAGGCAGAGAGGAAGAGCTGAGGAGTAAATAACAAGTGAGGAAGATCTGGTCATCCAGCCAGAAAAAGAGGTTCTGCTGTGAAGGTAGTGAACCAAAATGGTTAGAACCTACTGGGGATTTTTCTTTTTAAACACACGAGGTACATTTGCTGGAACTATCCAAACTGGAGATGGTAAAACTCATCTTTAACCAGCTGTTTACAACAAAGTGAAGCAGTCTTGTTACTTTAATATAGAAACTCTCCCATTTTCTGCTTATATTTTCTTCTTCTTGTACAGCCGAACACCTGCTTTCTTACTTGCAGTCTACACTAAACGAAATCTGTGTTTCTTACTCATTTTAGTTTGATTGTATTTATTGTTTACAGAGTGTTTAAGAGTGTGTGATGTATTGCATGTATGAGCTTAACGTGACGTAACAGAACAGGTTGATTCTACTGTGCATCCTATAAATCTGCTGTGTAAAACTGTTGTCATCATGTCCAATAAAGATGAAAATGTGACTGTGGTGGTCAAATGATGCATCTGTTTTATTCTCTACACTCTGATCTTTCTTTCCAAATGATCATGGCAACTTTTATTAACCAAAAGCTCCTGACATGTTATTAGGGAAAGACTTAATGATGGAGTCATCCATCTTTCACGTATACTTATCAGGGTCGGGGACTGGAGCCTACAGGTTTGCTTGCATTTCTGTTCATATTACCACACACCTCTGATTAAAACACCTTTAAAAATTACTATGTTTTATATTTTATATTTCTCTCTATCTGCTCCTTTGAAAAACTTGATTATTAACAAAAATTTCCACCAGAACCCGTCAGAATCACCAGATATACAGGACTGTACAAGTCTTGAAGTAGGCCTCATTTCTTTATATTTTGCTTTCAAGAAGCCATTTTTAAAGTGGTCTTCAGCAATAATTCTCTTTCTGAATGTCTGGAGGCTTTTCTTTTGGACATTGCTATCATCTTCACTCATTTTCAGTTGAGTCCTTGTATTTGACCATTTTCAGAGAAATGTCTGTTTTTAGTTGTTTGTCCAGCCACTTATCACTGACCTATGAATCATATTCAAGTATAAAAAGTTGTTCAACCGGAGGGATAAACCAATGTTGTGTCTAACAGACAACTTGGCAAATAATCAATTTCCAATTGTACCTTTAGACACTTTGTTACTAGCAGCCTGTCAGTAAAACACATAATTTGTGCAAATGGTAACAGCTTGAGAAGCATAAAATTGTATTTTTGCACCATTAAGGTGATTCTCAAAAAGCTATTACCCAAAAACTTAATCTGGACAAGTGAAGGATGAGAGGAATGGCAAAAAACCCCTAAAAAATCTACCTGCAGCAAGTCATTGTTTGGAGCAACACTTCAGCCAGTGTTGTTGGGGATTTTATCAAAACCTGATGGAATTACAAATGTGGAAAAGTACTCTCAGACTTGTATGAACCGTGATAGCTAAGCATCTGGGCCCGTATCCCTAAAGAATCTTTGTGCAAAAAGTGGCTCCTAGCAGCCAAATTCTAAGAAAATTCTCAGAGTCGTGACGTTTTCTTAGAATTTCCCCTAAAAGTGACACGACTATCCAGTTAATATAAAAGCTATTCCTCAAGATTCCTAACGCTTAAAAGGGCTCCTAAGGCGAGATCTGCTAAGAGCAGGAAGAGGACTTTTAGTGGCTTAGGAGTTCCCCTAAGCAGCTGCACAAAATGGCCAACAGAAGAGGCAGGAGAGATGTCCTGCAAACACTGGATGACAGGGAATTATTGAGATGCTACAGATTGGATCGTGCAGGAATCATGTTTGTGGTGGATCTCCTTAGAGATGCAATTACTTCACCAACTCGACGCCACAACGCTATTACACCAGAGACGAAAGTAATCACAACCCTGAGGTATTTGGCAACCGGGAAAATGCAACAATGCAGCAGTGATGACTTGGGTCTGCAATCACAGACATTGCTAAAAGCTGAGCCGTGTTACCCTCGTTAAGACCACACTGGACTTGTAACGTTGTGATTTCTACTTCATTAAGGACAGCCTCTTGAGATAGGCCATCTTGTTTCAACGGGGTCCATATGGGAGTGAAAGTACAAAATATGCCAGCTAGGATATTAATATGAGCAAATAAGACACAAATCATTATTTGAACAGGGTGTAATGAGTTTAAGTTTTCACATATTTTAGATTCTAATGTTAGGCTATAACCCCTACAGCTTACTATTCATTTTCCAGATATTTTCTTGAATGTGAAATATTATTTACAATTACAGTCAGCATAAGATTAGAGTGTATAATTATGTTTCTTGATTTGAGGGTACATCCTTTGCTCATTATCACCAAAAGCTCATTTCCATCAAACTGTAGGATCAACCAATCACGGCTTTTGAAATGATGACTCATACCTAGCAACGGGGTCAACCACACCTCCTCACTAAGATAGGATTTCCCATCCATTCCTTGCTCAGAGTTCACTGAAAATGTTCTGGAATCACTTCTAAGCTAAAACTCCTGGCAAGGAATTTTTAGGTTAAGTTAGGAGCTCTCTGAGAGGATTCTCAGAATCTTTAGGATACGGGCCCAGAGGTTTATCCACAATATACAACAGAGGAAGCTGCTTCCCTCTCAGCTTATGCAGCTCCACCATTAGTTTATGGGCAACACAAGCAGAGTTAAGCCTGCTTCAAGAGACAATAACCAGTTGTAGCCACAAGATGGCAGCATTTTACAGGATGGATGCAAAAAACACTGATTTTAAAGTGAAAATGGTATAGCTGTAAGATGCAGAATA